GCTCTCCCATTTACATTACGACTCTATGTACTCTATGACTCCACAACATCTCTTCGTCAACACCCTACCGCCATTCCTTCAAGGGACGTCCCCTCACAGATTAAACTTCGGAAGCCATCTCACCCTGTTTTCTGAATATACTCGTAAAATTCAATGAACAACAGTGGGATGGGTTCAATAATCTCTGAACCGATGAAAAACGGATTGCTATTTTCATACCACTGAAAATGAAATTCAAGCAGGTACAGACCCATCTATTATCACGAGCAAAAGCCTATACTTGTGGGAGTCACAACTTCACTGCTGTGCTAAGGAAGAACACCGTATGAACCTTCAGGCGTTGCCAAATTTCCCTCGATAAAATATGAATTTCCTGGTCAACATATGAATATTTTTCTTCCAATTTTCAGATAATTTTGCTCGCAATTCCACCAAAAAGTCCTAAAAATTTCAAGGGAAGATATTCATAATTTTCCTCAAAAGTAAACATTTCATTGAAGGCACTTTGGCAACTCTCGAATGTTCATACGGCGCTCTTCCTTAGCACGGCAGTTTATGTGTACTGTATGAAGCGAGATGCGTACTTGCAGCTCCTGCTAGCCTCACCGTACGGTTTGCAGCACCGGAGTCTTACCATAATCCCCGCGTAGGAAAGTAAACCCTGCGCGATGAAATAAGCTACGGACTATAGGAACATCGCCGCGAAGAGCATTAATTGCATAACTGGAGCAATTAGCGTGTGTTGTGAAACAGACGGTTTGCATTGAATGAAATTAGGAAACAATAGATGAAAGAAATTTGCGGGCCGCCTCGGAAGAGGGTAGCAGAGACTATGATGGAGGATCCACCATTGAGGCTGAAAACATTTCATTCGCTTATGAATCCCGGCGCTCATTCGTGACATCCTGGAGGCGACGTGCATCGTGCGTCCGTGAATGAAGCCAAGTTAACTTCATCAAACTTATAGAGGATTTCGTTCAAAACTGTGGTAGGGGACTCCGCATCCGAGGAGGTTACTCAAATATTGCGGTGTATGCTCGATTTGGACCTAGTTTAACAGAAAGGAACCAATCCACATAAATTTAAAACTGAGAAAAAAAGGTTTGAAGTTGTATTTCTCCATAAGGCTTACAATGGAGATGTTGCATGTGTGAAAAATTTGCGATTTGACTGTTGATTCTTACGTAAAAGTTCGCGAGAAACACGATGGTGCCACTGGTTTTCTCTGAAATTAACTCCCAAGCTCAAAAAAAGCTCTCAAGTTGAGGCCAAAATGGAGGGGATAGCCCACGCTATCCTGAGAGTCCACCTCTACATCAAGACAAACTCTCCGTGCAAAGATGGGGAGCAAATACATTGACAGGGCTGCTCCTTTATTTGGACTCTAAAACTGAAAACGCGGCATCACTGCTAATGTATTTGCTCCCTATCTTTGCATGGAGAGTTTTTCTTGATGTAGATGTGGACTTTCAGCATAGCGTGGGATATCCCCTCCATTTTTGCCTCAACTTGAGAGCTTTTTTTGTGCTTGGGAGATGATTTCAGAGAAAACCACTGGCACCATCGTGTTTCTTGCAAACTTTTAGGTAAGAATCAAAAGTCAAATCGCAAATTCATCACACATGCAACATCTCCATTCGTGTAGGAAATAAACTTTCATCCCTGTTAACACAGACTAATTTTTTTTTCTCGACTTTGAATTTTTGGCAGGGGAATATATACGATTAGTGAACCTCAAAAACATTCTTAACTCAATTTTTTCGAAAATGTGGGTTAGTTCCTCTCTGATAAACTCGGTCCAATTTTTCCATCGATGGAAGGATCGTTGTCAATGCCCGTCAAACGCAAAATAAGTTTTTGGTGATGAATAGACGTATTTCTGCTAAACGGAATCAGAGACAGGTGGGAAAGAAGGGGTGTGCTCGTTAGTACTCGGGTCCTAAGAATGAATGGGGATTGTAAAGCTCCAGTGACGTCAGGGGCGACGACGCGACGACGGGGACGCGCACGGGCATGGGAACGGGAGTGCCCACTAACTCATGAGCCCTGTTCACAACGCTCTTGCCACATGCCCACGGCTCATGAGTTAGCATACAGTTAGCGACAAGTTCCGTTTGATTTAATGTAAAAACCCGCTTTTCCATTTCCCCGATAGGAATCACGCTCACTTTTAGATTGTTTCTTATCTGCCTCACGACGAGCACAAGGTGTTAATGGCTCAGGTGTTAAATAAAGCACCAAACGTATCTACCAACCAACGAACCACACTCCATATTTCCCGCACGTCTCGAATTCCGCTCAGGAGAAATATGTCCAAATGCTACTTTTTACCGCTGACTTTAAACCAATGCCATTATCCCACCGAAATTGATGAGGATATTTTTTCCGAGCATACTTTCCGTTTATTCAGTTTCATATCGTTTACTTTTTCCGCTATCTTTAAATATTTGCGTCTGAAAAACTAAATTTTACATTTGTTACCGGGCACGCATACTTGGCTCTACATTTTCGTCGCAAACATTCCTCCTTTTCTTTCTTTTTGAGAGAGGTGGCATTTAATGCTGTGCAGCTGAGTGAATTCAAGGTTATAGGACATTTCGTCAACGACTTTTTGTCCGTGCGCCTGTTTGGAAGATTGAAGGTTTGCTTGTTTTTTTTTGTTTTGTCTGTTTGGTCCAACGGAGAATAATATATAGTTGAGAGTTTTGGTGAAAATGGGGGAGCGTCAATTATTCCATGAGACAAAATTCACAAAAACTCTCTACACCTCTTTGGTGTAACAGGACTTAATTATCTTTCAAGAAATTTCCACCTTGTTATACCTGAACCGGATGAACCTCTATATTTGCCTCAGCTAAAGGCTCTTAGATTTTTCTTGTGTATGATAAGTATTTTGATTTATTTTGGGAGGAAAGATCTGTACATTTAAAGGATGCCTGTCATTCTTTAACACGTTCAATTTTGTATAATACTGTGCAATACCTCTGTTGTGAAATAGTTGCCTCAGGCGCCGCCGCACGGCGAGCGGGCGGCCAGCGCGAAACGCATTGGCGCCTACAAACCTAAGTGGATACTTCAAGCATTGTGCAATGCGTGAAGTATCCACTTAGGTTTGTAGGCGCCAGTGAGCCTCTCGCGCTGGCAGCACGCCGCTCCGCTCTGTTAGGCTTCAATATTTATACTCGCATAGTCAGCGTTTTTTAACTCATGATTTTGAAATGTTTGCACACTCTGCATTGATTATTCATTAAATTGATGGGAAAAAATATGTATCAATTTATCAAAAGAGAATAATAATATAATGTGTTTTTTTTAAATATTGGTGGTTCCGTGTCAAATTAAATGATTTCCAAAGCCCTTCAATTTTTTCTTTTACATTTTGTGCTTTTATTGGGCTGCAGCGAGGTGTACGCGCAACCAAACGCTCAAAATTTGAGGTATTTTACTCTAAAAGATCGATGTACAAATGGATTAAAACGAAAGATTGCGTGCTTCTTGGTTTTTTTCCCTCTTTTATTCATTTTTGCAGTTTCTGTCGGCACAACTGCGGCTCATTGAGATTAATGTCGCTTGGAAAAGGTTTTACAAATATTTGTCACGTTTTAAAAGTATAAATGTTTTCAAAATAAAGTAATAATTTCGTAAAGAAAAAATTAAAAAAATAATAAAAAATAGTACCCGTACATACATAAGGTATATTGTACGTCGAATATTTTATGGATAGAAATAAAACCAAATATTCACCAATGAGAATTTAAAAAGATGATTCAAAAGGAGAAAGTAATTACATTTCATTCAGAAAATGAGCAACCATAACAACACCTCCTTCTCTCTCAATTTCTCGTTTCCATATTGTCAATATAATTTTACATACCGACTAAAATATAACGCTTGGACTAAGTCACTGTTGCTTACTTTACGTGTGGGCGTAAACTACCGGACAAAAAAGGCGCGCGGACAAAAAATCGTTGACAAAATGTCCTGAAACCGAACTCAAAGTATAGATTCTACGAATTCTTTATTTTTAATTTGTTTAGTATTTTCCACATTCTAGATTAAACTGACGTACACACTCACTCTTAATTTTTTCGTTTCAAAATTCACACCTCGATATAAATTACATCGCCTTGTTGTCTTTATTTTAAAAAAGACAAACGGAGCCACGTTACTGTAAGCAACTACTACTGCTTCTAAGCACATCAAATGGCCTATATTCGAAATTGAAGCCGATCTAGTTGGAATGAGTGTGAAACGGTGCACTTTCAATAGATGGTGTTCATTCGATACATTGTTCAATGCGAATGAACGTGGCTACACAAGTGCAAGCAACTCTTACCGCTCCTAAGCCGCTCACATTGCCTATCTCAGTATTGAAGGCGAACTGGTCAGAATGACCGCGAGGCGATGCTCTGTTGATAATCTTCTACGATGTTCAATGCGAAAAATCAAGTTTAATTTTAAAACTTATCCTGTGAAGTCACTTCAGCGGTGCTAAGAAAACTTACTGGTTGTATGGTACCGACGAATAATGCTGTATTTGGACAGCATCAAGCAGAGAGGAACCAAATCACATCAGCTATCACTAAATTTAATTTGGCAATTTAATTTATTACATGAAAACGGTTGCGCGTTTCGTGCAAATGGAAGTGAATTTTCTGCATAGCACGAAGTAAATCCTTTAAAATTTTCAAAGGAATCCGCACAAACGTACTTTTGTAAAAAAAATAAAGTGCCCAGTTAAATTTGGCAATGGCTGATATGTCTTGGTTCCTTTCTGCTAAACTCGGCCCGTTTGAAGGTATAGCACCGACAAATTATGTCATCCTAATAAAATAATTAGGAAAGAATAGTTCCAGCATCGAAACGGTAAGAAAAAATGCGGCATGGTGCATAAAAATTACAGCAACTCTCAGAGCGATGGGCATTTAGTTCATTTGGTATTCTCCGCAGCTGTAAGAATATCATCTTATTTTAATGACATGTACTCTTTTCTGTTCTAGGAGCGTTCCTCATTCCGTTTGCCATTATGCTCGTGTTGGAAGGAATCCCACTGTTCCTCATCGAGCTGGGGATCGGCCAAAAAATGCGGCTCGGCTCTCTAGGGGTCTGGAACACGATTCACCCCTGGCTCGGCGGCATCGGCATAGCCAGCTGTATCGTTACCTTCTTCGTTGCTCTGTACTATAATGTCATCATTACATGGTGTTTTTATTACCTATTCAACTCGTTTCAGGTAATCCACTCATTTCTCCTTTTTCATCTTCATTTTAGATATATATCGTTAGTTAGTTAATTCATTTATCGACATTCAGCATCTTAGGGTACGTCTTTACAAAGAGTATGAAAGATGGGTGCATATACAAAAATTTAGATTTTTAAATTAAGGGAGGGAAAAAGTTTCAGTAGTTCGGTTGTGAGTACATTGGGTTCATCGCAGGTTACTGGGCTTGTATTCCTTTTGACTGTTAATTCATTCATCCATCAAGCAATGCTAACAATATCATAATTTTCTCGTTGCATAGCTTAATAGCCACACTGTTAAGAAAAATAAAACCGCATTGAGCAGAAAGGAACCGAGCCACATCAGCTATTGCCGAATTTGATTGGGCAATTTTATTTTTACATGAAAACGGTTGTGTGGATATTTGTGACAATTTCAACGAATTTTCTGCATAGCGTGAAACAAATTCCTTAAAATTTTCAAAGGAATCGCCACAAACGTTCTCTTGTAAAAAATTAAATTGCCCAATTATATTTGGCAATAGCTGATGTGGCTTGGATCCCTTATGCTAAACGGGATCCAATATACTTTGTCAAAAATCGAGGAGTTTTTGGTGCCGGAGTCCACATATCTCACAAAAACCCCAAGATTTGAATGCGAAGTGAAATTAGCACCGTGAAAGAGCATGACACTCCGCAAAAAAGATTGCATTCCGCTCCGGAATAGTGTAAGTCATCCCTATATGGAAAGAAATGCCGCTCCGTATTTGTAGCACTCGGAGTATTTAGGTTTATGTAGACTCCAATATACAGGGTGTCTCACGAAAAAGGAGCCACCTCGAATATCTGCCGAACGCGTCGGAATTTCGCGCCCCTCCCGCGGTTTGAGAAAATGTCAAATACGCCAAAAGGTGTCCTCCTCGATATAAACGAACACGTCTTTTACTGTTTTTCGAAATTCCGACGCGTAGATATTCAAATTGGCTCCTTTTTCGTGAGACACCCTGCACATAGGTTCACTCCAAATTTTTTAAAGGTGAAATACTATTTTTGCATATTAAAGATAAGTTGAGTCAATTTACTCGCAGATCGAGTCAAACTCCAAACAAAACGAAATTTTAATAATTAGCGTCAATTATGTAGAGAAAAAAAATATTCTCTTAAGGGACGTCCCTAATTTACGTAACGCTTCAGAGTGGGAGGGGGAGGGGGCGAGGAGAGCGTTAAGCCATTTTGTTTTTACGCGTTGAAGGATGAAGACCTACGTCATGAAAGCGTTACAAAGGGGGGGGGGGGGGGGACTCAAAAATGCCGGAAAAAAGCGTTATAGGCACGTAAATTATAGGGACGGCCCCTTAAAGGAATACAAGATGTCTCAGATCAGCCATACCGAGGATTTGTTCTTGCCGTTTTAAGAGAAGATCAAACCATAAGTTCTCTATGAAGGCTCAGTGCTCACCCGCTCTATTAATGGGTATAAAATATGCAGGCTAAAGCCGAGAAGCAGAATTAATAACTCACTCTAGGCGGGGGTAGACTGTGATCTGGGTCAACTGCCCGAAACTGCGGTGGAAGCGGCATTTTGAGTACGTCCAATGGCCCTTAATCCAGGGATGTCATGATATCAATTTATCATTGTTGCAGAGTCCTCTTCCGTGGGCTAGCTGTCCACAACTGGCAAACGGGTCGGCCGTTCCCGAATGTGAGAAGTCATCAGAAACAGCGTATTTCTGGTACAGAACCACATTGGACGTCTCGCCGGCCATTGATCAACCCGAAGGTCTCAAATGGTGGATCGTCCTCTGCCTCATCCTCGCCTGGACCATCGTGTTTTTCATCGTCATGAAAGGAATCCAGTCTTCCGGAAAGGTATAAATACACTTTATCAAAAAACCCGCGTTGACCGTCGACTGCTTGAGTTTGAGCTTGTTACAGAATCGTGCTTTGACCGGTTGAAACCCATACCTAGATAAAAAAAAAAAAAAATAAGAAAATCTGTTCAAATGCCGAGTATTTACTCGTACATTTACTAAGTTACCACCCTTTTAAGAACACAATGGGTTACTACGAGACATAGTAAATTTGAGGGGCCAGGAGGACAAGGTTCCTAAGTGCAATCTTTGCTATTTCGAAAAATACGTGTTTGAAGTCTCAAAATTTCATAAATCCTTATTGCGGAAAGAAAGTTCAAACTAACTTTTTGATGGTTAAAAATTAGACTTTAGGAGCAAATTTTTCACAGAATATGCATGAAGACTAGTTTTATATGAAATCATTAATACCTCATTTTTTTTTTTTCAAAAACTGCACTTATGCGCCTTGTCCTCCAAGCCCCTCATTTAACCTTGTCACAAATGGTCGTTCCTCTGATGTACTTATCTTTTTCCCCCTCTATACTTACCTCCATTGAGGAGTCCTCTGGGTAAAGGGGTCATTTCGAAAAACGTGTTTTGAGAAAAATGCGTCAGAAGTTTTCATTATTACTTTCTGGAAACTGACGATGACTTCCACATCGGATCTTAGATTAGCCAAAAAGCTTCTAAATCCTCATGAGCTCCGGAGAGAGTGTAATTATACAGCCAACAGGGCTCATTTTCAAACCGCACGCCCTAATGCCACAGAAAAGGCGATGTCAATGAAGCACGAAAGCGAATTAAATCACGCCAGAGAGGTATAGTTTGCACTCGCAATAAGATTTTGTGATCGTTGCAACTTATGAAGAACTCAACTAACTCAAGCAAAGTAGTGCATGACCTTTCATTCCTTGGAAGTAAAACTATCGCAACATGACTCAATAAAGTCGAGGAAAGTTGCGCAACCCTGCTGTCGTGTTGCCCTGTGCTGTTGTTTGCATACCTTTTTTCTCAATAAGTAGTATCGTATACGACAGACATGGAACGGATCTCATTATAATGCCTGGATACAAATAGAGATACAACTATTCGGGCTTCACGGATGTCCGGGTTGCATACGCATGAAATTGAAGGCGTTTTAACTTTTTAGGCATCCATCGCCTCACCCGTGGCGCGGCGCGGCGGAAGCAGTGCTAAGGGGATCTGAGCGACAGTGCCCCATCAATTCTTTCGGTTATAGTACGATGAAATGTTTTCATTTCCTACTTATCTATTTTATTGTAAAAATATGAAAAAGTTAGGCATTGCCATAATATTCTTCATTTCATTTTGCAAAATGTGGTCCCTTTGTATTTTACACTTGATCAGAAGGGAGGAAACCATGTTAAGCAATGGCAGGGGCGTTTTTTTGTTTTCCATCACGTGTTTTTGAGAAGCATAATCGCCATTGATGATGGACTCAGATACTTGGTAATCGGGCAGATCTTTTTGGTTAATTTACAAGGATCAGGATCAGTAAAACTAGATTTTGGGATACGCGCAGCTGTCACGTACTCTGAAGTTGCAGCATTTTATACAAATAGACGAAGCACGGCTCAATCTCATTTAAAATGATAATCATTTTCGTAAAATGTAGGTTGGCTCCGTTCAAGCGAATCTTGAATAGCAAAGTAACAGGTTTTTGACACGCACCCTTCAAAAACTGATATTAATATCGCGGAGATAGAAGCGGCGTCAAATTGAAAATCCACGGGAATCCTGGGACCAGTACTGCCGTGCTAAGGAAGAACGCCGTATGAACCCTCGAGAGTTGCCAGATTTCCTTCGCGAAAATGTTTATTTTTGCGGAACGTTATGAACACTTTTCCCTGAAATTTATAGGAACTTCGGGTGCAATTGCGAACAATAAAATCTGAAAAATTGGAAGGAAAATATTCATAAGTTTACCAGGAAATTCGCGTTTCATTAGGGGAAATTTGGCAACGCCCGGAGGTTCATACGGCGTTTTTCCGTGCCGCGGCAGAGTATCCGAGGGGCTGCGTGCACGAACACGACATAATGTCACGGCTAAGTCATGGCAGGAGTCATCCGAGGAAAGTTGGGCGTATATGCTAAAAGGAGCTATGTGCATAGGGGTTTGCGTGCAACATAGTTCCTTTCAGCAAAAATCCGCCCAGTTACAACACGCGAAAAGCTTGTTATATTTGCTTGTGAAATTTCCACCGCTTAAAATCCGAATCGATACTTGCATAATGGCATTAAACGGTGGCTCAGTGATTTCACCACTGCGATGCGAAGCTACGACCCCTCGCTGTCTCCACTGTTGCTGGATTGGTCTTCGTTATGAAATTGGAAACTTCGCAATTTCTGGCTTATTTGTGAAAACACGCACGTGCATAGGAAAACAATGCACTTACGTTGTCTCTAAATCGAGCCAGAGATTGTAGTTCCTAATAGCAAAATGAAGTTCAATTATGCGAAAAAAAAGGACTGCAATTTGCAACTATAAGCTACCAGTGGCGTAGCGTGAATTGCGATACATAGATTGTTATGCCATTTAAACCTATGGGAAAGGATCGATTAACAGGCTGTTCGCAGCGAACACCTTAATAATCGATTCTTTACCATAGGTTTAAATGGCATAGTAATCGATACATCGCAATTCACGCCACGTCACTGGAAACTATACTATTTCCGACTCATTCATAAAAACACGTGTACCCGAAGGAACTAATGCGAACTTTATACTTGTTTCTGAAATGAGCCAGAAATAGTTCCTTTACTGCAAAATATAGTGCAAAAGGAAAAATTTATCCTGAAACTTAAGTCGTCCTCGTCGTTTTTAGTGAATCGGAATTTCGTTCAACGAAATCTTCAAAAATATATACAGAAATTTTCTCGAAGTTAGCAAAAATTACCTTTTTAATAACACGGTTTAAAATTTGAGGGGAGAATAATGAGTTTGTCTTTGACCACCCTTGAAATCCTCCACATATTTTCAGAAATGGACGTGTCTCATCTGTCAAACGGAACTAAGCGCCATGAAAACGCTTTGTGAGCATAGGACGGAATGAGCTCGTACGAAAGTTAAGCTCCATCCGCCAATCCCACCCACATTCCTAATCTTCTCCTATACTTGCCGCTTAGTTCAGTTTAGCAGAAATACGTCCAAATAATATGCATGCGAAGAGCTTTTAGTACATTTATCTCAGGACTTTTTCAAATTTTTAAAAATCTAACTGTTATTTGTGCAATTCTTCATTTTGAAATGAGCAAAAACTAATTGAGGAGACACGAGCTTGAAATTTATTGGTGAATTTTAATGTTTGTAAAAATTTTTCACGTCTAACTGAGGATAGTGCGTGCTCGGACCACGCACTGCAAAAAAAGATTGGTAGAATTTACCATTAATGGTAAATTCTTTCAATCTTTTTTTCAGTGCGGGCTTTTCAATTTTGAAAAAAGGGCAGTCTCAACGTTTTTTAATAGACGAGAGAAAAAAATTGCAACGAAAAGAGATCCAACCATTTTCTTCATTTTAATGTCAAATCCCACAAACTGAAAACGTCAAAATTGTGCAAGAGTTCACACCTGAATTTCTTAGAGATATACCTCAAGTGTGAAATTAATTCCTGACAAAAATTTGGCATCCGCACCGATCACATGCTTTTGACCTCCTTTGAATTCACCCCCTCCCCTCTTCCCCCTTGACCCACTGCACAGAGGGAGCATGACGACTCCCTGCTGTTGCCATTTCATGCGAAGAATCAATTAAAGCCCTCCGTAAGAAAATGGTGCTCCCGCTGTAAAACGGAAAAGGAGCCTTTTGAAGCCATGTTAGCGAGGGCAAACAACTGAATCACTTGACTTTGAATCGAGTGGTGAATTCGTATCTTCTTTTGCGCTCGTGGGCCTCTTATGTGGAACATTTGGACGTATTTCTACCAAACGGACCTATATGCATTAAGACATGAGCCCTGAGACCCATAAGAATATATGCATAACAGGGCTCACGTCATATGTACATAGTTCCGTTTGGCAGAAATACGTCCATTTGACCATTAATTTGAGGTGGGAAGGAATCGTATAGGCGTCAAAAATGTGCTCTCTGCCGCCCATTCACTCCACCCTCCCTATCATTCCCACTCAACCCTCAGAACAGAGTACTTGACATGTGCATCGTCGAAAACTGCCAGGGCGGCTCACAGTGGATTGAGTCAATCAGAGAGGTCGGACAGCAAATTTGGATGTTTAATTCGTCAAATTTTACATTTTAAGGGGTGCCTCACCAAGAAAAACTCTTGAGAAAACCGATCGAACCACTTTTAAAACCTTCAAGTTTCGTATGAATGGAGTTATATATAAGCTTTTAAAGTTTTCAAATTTTGTCCGGCCTCTCCTATGACACGATCCAGCGTGCATTGTTGAAAAGGCTGGCCTATCAACCCTTGTCGGTGAAAAGCTAATCTAGTGAACCTGCGGTTTTAATGTCTGTATTTGAAGTAATTTTCGCCGTGCAAATCGCGTTCAATCTTAAATTTTGATAAAAGAACATTGCGATGGCTTACGAACAAAACCGCCTAATTGAAATTTTGGCAAAGAAGAGTTAGGGACTTTTCCGCATTTTATAGTATGATATACGCGAGCTGGTGATTTCCATTTTTGTCCAATTCTGCAGACAAGCACTTCAACGCTGTAACGTATGGAAAAAATGCAACGCGAACCTTAAAATTATAAAAATTACGAGGTTTTCTCTTCATTCTGCAAAATCGTCCGTTTGCAGATGGGCAGTACTGTGCGTTAGCCATCGATATCATAATGCTTACATGCGCATTTTTTCTAGTGGTCCATCCAGAAGAAATAAATGGCAATTTTTTTATCTTGTAATATCACATTTTATTTCGTTTACAGGTTGTGTATTTCACATCTTTGTTCCCGTATATCGTTTTGACGATATTTTTCATCAGAGGCATCACTTTAAAAGGAGCCAGCGCCGGGCTTGCACATATGTACACGCCAAAGGTAAGTGATCGAAAAGAAATAATTGGCTCATCAGGCACTTACTCGGTTTTGACATCAGATAATGCTTTGCGGGATGTGACAAAATGACGAATGACATAGAGGTATTAGTTATGTACATTGATGCACAAAAAGAAAGAAAGAAAAACATATCCGATTAAAAAAGGAACAATCCGCCTGCCGCTTAGCGCTGCCGTGCTAAGGAAAAACGCCGTATGAGCCATCAGGCGTTGCTAAATTTCCTTCGAAAAAACGACAAAATTGCAGAAAAATTCGTGAATGTTTCCCTTCCGATTTTTCGGAGGATTCGCGGTCGGCCGGCGCGCGTCAAGCCCATATCAGCGCCTTCAAGACTGCATGAATACTTCTCGCATTGCGCCAAACGCAGTGCAGTCGGTCAATTGGCGTGACTCGCACTTTAGCACCGACAAAACTGTGCGCATGCTGTAGGACTGCGTGTCGCCATTCTTGACTTTCTGCTCCAGAAAAAATATTCAATCAGGAGAAACGAGGCAACGTTGGAATGCTCATACCGGCGTCGCAACACAACATGGCCTTTTAAGCTCTATTATTCGATGCCGCGTTTATTCTACCGCGAGTTCGAATAATCGCTCCGAACACAGTGCGGAAAGCGTTAAACGTATATTAGCGCCTGCAAGACTTTAGAAATACTTCACGCATCGCGCCAAACAGTGCGGTCGGCGTCGAGCCCATATCAGCGCCTACAAGACTGCATGAATACTTCTCGCATTGCGCCAACGCAGTGCAGTCGCGGTCAATTGGCGTGAAACGCACTTAAGCACCGACAAAAGTGTGCGCATGCTGTAAGACTGCGTGTCGTCATTCTTGACTTTCTGCTCCAGTTTTTACCACGATTAAAGGGAAAATATGTATCCTCATGGTAACGATTCAGAAACTCGAATGATATTTTTTGTTACATTAAAAGAAAATAGAACGAACGAAAATATCGCTTCAAAATTTTCGATACTTACATTTGAGATCATTTATAGATGAATTCACGGAAACTTATTGTCAGAAAAACTGAGTGTAGCTTTTAAAAAACATTTATTGAAAATAAAGCATACAAACGGTGTCCAACGTTGCAATCAGAGATAAATATACGCTTTCTTCGATTTTTCGGAGGATTTTGTTCCAAAAAACTTTCTTCTACAACAGATATTTTCTGAGAGGAAAGGCAACGTTCGAATGCTTATACGCCGTTTTTCCTTAACATGGCAGAGCGGTAAGCAAAAGTCAAACGTCGATCAACGGAAGTTCTCATTTTTCTCTGAAGTAGGCATAAGTTTTTCCTGGCTTGAGACACTAAAGTGACATCCTTGCAATTGAAAGATTTTACATTTATTCCATCCGGTTTTCAGGTCGAGAAACTGCTGGACCCTACGGTGTGGATGGATGCAGCGACGCAAGTCTTCTACTCATTCGGATTAGCTTTTGGGTCATTGATTGCCTTCGGTAGCTACAACCCGCCCAAAAACAACTGCGTCCGTGATGTGATCCTGGTATCCATCTGCAACGCGCTCACCGCCATTTACGCTAGTATCGTAGTTTTCGCAATCCTAGGTTTTAAAGCTATGAGCAACGTTGATAAATGTATAGAAAGGTGAGTATAAACTCTGAGTTCAATCAGTCCATGCCACTTAGCAAGAATGAACCAAAGATAATTTGGATTGAATTTTGCAAAAAGGAACCAAGAGCATTCCAATGTTGCTAGGATTGTGCAACTTACACTCTTCGCTATAAAATCACTGAAATCGTGCAAAAAATTAAATTTACAAGGGTAATTTTTGACTTGAATTTGTGGTTTAATCGGAGTAAAAATAGAACTTATTAAGGCGATCAGTTTATATTTAAGGTGAAAATAGTTGCACAATCTTAGCGACGTTGAAATGCTCGTGGTTCCTTTTTGCAAAATGCAATCCATTTGAGCTTGTGGTCTCTTTTTGCTGAGTTTCGTCTAATTTCTTTCATGCCACATAGCTCTCGCTCAAGGTACAACCTTCCTTCCTCGAAATTTCGACCTCTACCGTTAGTAATCGACTTAAAAACCCTTTTATCCCCCTTGCTTCAATTTAGCGTCAATTTCGTCTTTTTCCAGACGAGAGAACGTAACTTTCTTCCGAGATTGCAAAATTGACTTAAAAAATTCAATTTTTACCATGAAGATGATCGTGCAATTTTTGTCTAAAATTTCGCCGATTTTTACGTGTGATGAAAGAGTAAAATCAACTAAATAATTTCCCGTTAGAAATGCCCAAAATTTTAATATAAGGGTGGAAATTCGGCTACGTTGAATTGCAAGTACGTTTTTTCCTCAGAAGAACGATGGTTGATGCAATTACTCACGACTGAGTTGAAACGGCACAGCCGCAGCACACCGCGTTGTCGGAGGGTACGTCAATGCGTAGACAAAAAAACTGACGCGCCTGCATTTCTTCGCATGCAACACACACATCCACAAAGATCGAATAGTTGCATCCAAGCGTTACGATTCAAATCGCACTGAATAATAGAGCAAAAAGTGCTTCCGCAAAGATTGTACGAAACAATAAACTTTATGCCAGCAAAAGGCACAACTATGAAGGTTTTCTGAAATATTTTTAGGAAAGTTGGATACTTGAGATCCTCGGCGTCGTTTGAATATTTTGAACACAGCATGGCAAATCCTAGATAGCTTATTCTTTCGCTTTTTACTTGAAAATCTCTGAACATTAAAGAACTGTCAATTTTCTCTTACAGCAACAAACACAGACTGCACTTCCTTGGTTTGATACCCAGTATTGATATAGCTCAAGATGAGTATGAGTCGCTAATAGCTCACCATCAGGGGAAACCTGACCTGAAGCTTGAAGAATGTAGTCTTTCGAAACAACTCGATCAAGTTAGTATTGCAATGAGTATCACGGAATCTTAATTGAATATTAATCATTATTATAACTAAGGGGCGCGCCCTCTGACCGCTTCGTAGTCCAACCCCCCGAAGCGCTTCGCGCCTCAGATGTGCGTTACACCTATGATATCTTGTAGATTGGAAATTAAGTAAATTAGTATAACTTTCATGATTTCAAACGTCAAAGTCCTACAATCGAAATGTAAAATAAGATACCGTCCTTTGAAGCTCAAGGCAATGATATTATCTGTTTCACTTCAAGGTCAGATACCTTCCGAAAACTTGGCGCTCAGGCAGATTTTTTTTCTTCCTCGTTTGCAAAACTCTGAAAGATTCGACTATCATGGCTTATTACGAAGATTTCACTTTGGCTTAACTTAAGAGCAGATTTTTTAAATGCTGATTTACATGTTCCCCTGAATTTATGGTATTATTACCGCTACTTTGGGGGGAAAATTGTATCTAAAATTTGATATTTTCCATCAGCAGATGGTACACGATGTCAAAAATACGTAACAAAAAAATTCCGCTTGTCCAAAAATTGTTTACTATCATTGAAAACAAAGTCAGCCGATGAAACTTGGCAGTATAGGATCTGAGGTTATGGAATTCCAGTTACAATCTGCAAAACAAACAGTCTAAGACTGTAACGCTGTGCTGTGACTTTGTAAAAACATGACGTACTTACAAGTTTTCAATTTTCCTCTTTTTATTTTCAATTTGACTTTTCGATTTTCAAGTTCTTTTCCTGGTACACTGTTGATTTTGAATTTTTTTTGTCGCATCCGTTTGTTTTTAATAGCGATTTTCAAATTTTCCTGAGAAGATTGTTTTGAAAAAACTTCTCAAGAAACAGACGTTGATATGCACGTCAATGGGAATATTTAAGAACTCCTTCAATGCAAAAACATTTTCCAGCGTTACTCAATCAGTGACTTTTCTGATTTTCTGACTCAGACAAAAACGTCAAATTTTGTTCAAAATTACTGATTGCATTTTTTTTGTTCGTTTGTTTGTTGTGTCCTAATCATGGTGGTGCAAAAATGAGTTCACGCATACCCCAATCCATTAGGGTTTGAAACCCGTCCCATAGCAAAGCACGAGAGAAAGCAGGAAAAGAAAGGTGCTGCATGCATTGTCGGTTTCAATCTCTTGTTTAAGCAACGTTTCAAATTATATTTATCTATTGACTTGTTTCAAATTTCAGGCGGCAGAGGGCACTGGTTTAGCATTCATAGTCTTTACGCAAGCCATGGTAGAATTACCCGGTGCACCTTTCTGGTCGGTCATTTTTTTCATGATGTTGCTGTCTCTGGGCCTCGGATCTCAGATCGGGATACTGGAGGGCATGTTATGCACAATTTTTGACATAGAAATTTTTAAAAGGATTCGGAAACCAATTTTAACAGGTGAATATCATGAATTATGTTACTTCTCTCGACCACGTGTATCTCTGATCTCACCAGTTCGCCTTCAATAAGCTGGTAGGCAATGTTAGTGACTCAGGAGCACTAAGTAATAGTTGCTTGCAGCAGTTTAAGTATTTCAATGGTTTCAGTTGAGCGGGTTAATCGAAGAGAGGCCTGGGGTCTCGTGACCGACAAATGTTCATTAATTGATTTTTCGACGGAATGGTATTATTCAAGGGTAAGTGCATCCTACTACCGAGTGATGCTCCCAAAATTCCTCTTTAGCGTCTTTTTTTAACGTTTCAATCCTTTAGCCAACTTTTAATAAGTGAGCACCATCCGTTTTTTCTGGAAAGACGTTACTGAAAGTGAAGTAAGGTGCTTTGCAAATTTGATAAGCACAATATATGAGGACATATATGAAACAATTGCGGTCGCTGACATCCGTCATTTTTAGGGCAAACGCTTTTTTCGAATTCTGGTGCCCTGCTTAAGAATGTCTGTGCACAGTTTCAGACTTCCAGCGTAATTTTTCGGCAAGATATGTACTGAAAACCATGTTATTTGTAAAAACTGCGGATACGAGAATCCACTTCTCAGTGTTCTCCCCGGCCGGCGCGGCAAGACACCGCGGGGATTCTAAAACGCACTTGTGATAACTGCCCGCGCACCGGCCACGGGCTGCAGCTGACACTCAAATGATACGTATACCTAGTATCTATCGTATACGTTCTTTAGCGGAGAAATTCAAGGCACGGCCTCAGCTTGGAACACCTTCAAATCCAGCGATACTTTCCGCTTTGCCAAGGAGTTAGTTTAGTTGTTTAACCGAACCTAACACATATTATTGATGGCATTTCACGAACTCGCGAGTGTGCTAGCTGGCACCATGTATCCAAGAAGAAGTGGCTAACGTATGTTTGAATTCAAAGCATAATAATCCCTATTTCCAATCTCGTTCTTTCACTTTAAAACGATTTAATTTGTTGATTAAACACGCGTACGAATAGATTGCAATTTGCCGGCGATTGCTAATTGCCTGCAATTTATACACCTGAGAATGTTTGTGAAGATTAATGAGAAAAAAAATTACTGACTGAACAATCACAATCACTGCCAGTGCAAATGTTAATTAAACAATACTAAAGCACTTTATCGATGGTAAAAGTGCAGAAGTGCGAATCTCGGTAAACACGATTTTCCAGGAGAGTAAAAGAACTGTCTGCATTCCCTTTATTGTTGTAGAAGGGTAATAATTCTTAAGGATAGCAAGAATAAGATGTTTTTTCAAACTCCAAAAAAGGGTTTCACACTTAAAATTCTTTATCAGATAAGATTTAGTTTGTCATCGATGCTCCATTCATCCATGCTTTCCGCTTTCCTAATGGACCAGTTGACAAAGTACCTTTTCTTCAATTTTGATTATTCACAGTTAATCAACGAAAGCTCATTTTATCCGTACGAAACTTTTTAAATTCAAAACCGCTTTTGAGTAAGTTGCGATCTTGTAAACGGCGACTCTTTCAGTTTCGCCTCAGAATACGATGACCGAACCAAGGGACTTAAAATACACAATCTGATCCAGCCGCTTGCGCTCTCTTCTTTGAAATAAGCCGTAGAAACCAAAAACAATCTTATTATTTTTCAAAATAATATTCCTCGGCGTTTTTCGAATATGCGGCTCGATTTAAAACCCAAAATTATGAACTTTTTGGTCAACATCGTTGTAAAAGGCCACTCACAATGGATACAGAAGAGCGCCTTCAAATCGATCCGTATACATAATGCAAAATCCTGATACCACTAATCGTGCGTCAAGGCAGTCATTTTGCATACCCGGCCATTTGAAGGCGAATCATTGACTTCAGGCGAAAAAGCCGGAGCCGCCCCCCAGGCCCCTACGATCTTAGTCATCCATGAACCAAAAATGAACAGTTTCAATCTCAAAAAATCGTCGATTTTCCGTAAAGTATCGTAAAAACTCGATTTTGCGTGTAAAAATACGTAGGAACCGGTGTTTACAACATGTGTAAACAACGATAACAACCCCGTAGACACATCAATTCAACAAGAAAATAGCGAAGAATAAGGCCGGAGTTTGACCCGTTTTCCCACCCGTAACTCGAAAACGGTTCTTCTACTCATCTTGAAATTTGTCCTAAGTTTTCTGTTATTATAAGCTTCCACTTAAACCTTGGTTTTATGGTCGAATCGATTACCGAAAAAGGGGTGAAAATCAGCCCTTATTTTGGGATGCTCTTTTAATTATAAGTTCTTAAAAAACAAGAGAAAATATTATGACCTAATAGTACCTAAGAAAACATTTTATGTTGTGCGTNGGGGGGGGGGGGGGGGGGGGAGGAGGCGCGGGCCCCTGGGCAAGCAACAAATGCATTTTTCTTTGAAATGCAAATCAAGAGAAAAACTGTGAAATTGCGCAAATAAAAGAGAAGTAACTACAGATTGCTCGTAAAATATATTCAAGCACGCTGTTCTCATCTATTACCTTTGTTCACAGGTGCCGTGTGTCTCATTTGTTTTCTCGTGGGATTGATTTTCACAACCGGTGCCGGTGAATATTGGCTTAAAATGTTTGACTCCTTTGCCGGAACAATTGGTCTTGTGATGATCGCTTTGCTAGAAATGCTGTCTGTGATGTTTATTTACGGTCATCAAAAGTAAGAATTATACTCTACCTACATAGTTACAAAATGTTAAAATACGATATGCCTTAAAAAATTGTTCTTCGATAATCACAAATTTATCTTCCGGAGTGTCGACAACCCGAGCATTTCGTGCATGAAAAATCACATATCGATGGCCAAAGTGCGAAGGCACGCATCTCCTTTTGCGACGTTGCAGACTTCCTGTCATAATTTATTTTTTCTTTGGAAAAAAAGTGATGGTAATTTCTTGAAAACTTCCTTGATTTTTATTTTCTGTCAGCAGAATATTCTGTATGAATCCCAAGTAAATCAATTAGCTTGTTTCTTTTGGAAACAATATGATAGGAGCGGATATTTTGAAACATCGTAATAGAGGTACATGGTTTTGCACTTTGGCCATCGATATGAATTGTCATGTTATTTTATTCGAATAGCTAGCTTTCATTGTAGAATAATCTAAATGTACATAGAGAAGATACGAGTCAGTTAATTTTTTCACAGGATATCAAAGATTTACAGATATTTGCGTTCATAATCGGTCCAAGCTTTTATATTTTGTCTAGCAAAAATCTTGGCAAGACATTAATTCCATGTCTCGGTCGATGTAAATCTGGATGATAATTCTTTCTCGAAATGTATTAATTCATATTGACTTATTGTCCCTAGGTTCACTCAAGATATATATGACATGACAGGATACAGGCCGGGTATATACTGGCAGGTTACGTGGAGGTTTTTGGCACCGCTCATAATGTCATGTATACTGGTTTCGTCAATTGCATTCAGATTTTTACACACTCCTAAATACGGTGCATGGGATGCATCTACGGTAAGGAAAATTTTTTGGGGTTTTCTCCTTATTTGATCAATATGGAGCCATCGTTCTATTTTTTAACAGCTTCGAACTGGGATACTCGAATAAGTGCGGTAATGAAATGCACTGTTCATTACTCAGTTTTTTTTGCCACGAATAGGAAAAAATATTGAGAGAATTAGAAGAGAAAAAGATTATTGAATTTTAAAAATTTCGAGACAGCAGAGTCACAGAATAAATTGGGTCATACCTACTTGAATGTATTATGCAAAAATTTACCTTAATTACTGTGTTTCAGCGATAATTCCCTCAGTCAATTATCGGTGAGTGGCATAAATAAATAAATAGATCTTATAGAGTACATCGTTTTATAGATCCCAATTCGGTTCTGTCACTTTAAAGTATCTAGTTAATGTGTCATTAAATTATGTCAGTTGTCACGACGATCGCTTTACTATTAATCAATCGACGACTCCATGTTTTCGTTTAATCGCATTCCAAGAAATTCCAGATCAATTAATGTTAAAGTTAGGAGCGCTCCTGCGCAACCGGTAATCCAGGATTACGCGAAAGGTCTAAGAAAATATATTAGGATTACGCAAAAAAGGCACAAGGATTGCGCGAATAAAAACGTTAACGTCTGCGACAGGAATGCGCGAATTTAAAATGAAGATAATTTAAGGTAGAAGTTTGGCAAAACAGGAAACAGTCGGAAAATGAACGCATTTTTATGTTAACGCTAGTTTAGGTAAGCTTAATGTTGACAAGTCATCAATGTCTCACCTTCTGATCATAAATGAAGTGAAAAGATTGAATAATGGTCGTGGGTATAAAGAACTTTCCTAAATTTTCTCAGAAAGCATATTCAATCGGGAGGAACGAGGCAACGTTGGAATGCTCATACCGGCGTCGCAACACAACATGGCCGTTTAAGCTCTATTATTCGATGCCGCGATTATTCTACCGCGAGTTCGAATAATCGCTCCGAACACAGTGCGGCCGGCGTTAAACGTATATTAGCGCCTGCGAGACTTTAGAAATACTTCACGCATTGCGCCAAACAGTGCGGTCGGCGTCAAGCCCATATCAGCGCCTACAAGACTGCATGAATACTTCTCGCATCGCACCAAACGCAGTGCAGTCGGTCAATTGGCGTGAAACGCATATTAGCGCATACAAGACTGTAGGAATGCTGTAGGACTGACGTGTCGTCATTCTTGACTCTCTGTTCCAGGTTTTACTATAATTAAAGGGAAAATAAGTATCCTCATTGTAACGATTCAGAAACTCTAATAATATTTAATATTTTTTTTTGGTTACATTAAAAGAAAATACAACGGACGAAAATATCTCTTCAAAATTTTCATTACTAATATTTTAGATCATTTAGATAAATTCACGGAAACTTATTGTCAGAAAAACTGAGTGTAGCTTTTAAAAAACATTTATTGAAAATAAAGCATACAAGCGGTGTCTAACGACGCAATCAGAGATAAATATACGCTTCCTTTCGGGTGCACCCGTCGGATTTTTGCATCCATTTATCTCTTAAAAAACTTAAGCATGGTTGTTCTACAATTTTTTTTTCGTGCAGTTTTTTTTAGTGGTTGACGGCCGCGTGGCTTCCACTTTCGGTACCAGAAAAATTCGCGCAATCCTATACATCTCCAAAAAGGGGGGAAAGGGGGCATTCGCGCAATCCTATCGCAGCCTGTGTATCGTGCAACCAGGTTCTAAGACTGAGCGATAGCTCGTAATTCAGGAATGCATGTCGTGGGGGTTGTATACCCATAGTTTTTGAAGGCGTTTTTACGCTCGTACTAGAAACGTTAATACGAGATATACCGAATTTGTGCCCACTCTCGGGATATTACTTACCTACTATGTATTTACTAACTTTATACCAAATTAATCCTCAATTTCTTGGGAATAATAATTCATTATTGTTGGAAATTTGAAACTAAGTAGGCAGCATTATTAGTGAAAAACTATACCAATGATTAAAATATTTGTTTCAGGGACAAACTGTTGAAACGCCGTATCCAGGCAGTGTTCTGACCATAGCTGTGATAATGATTGTTACCTCTATTTTACCAATATTACTTGTGTTTTTACTCCGTCGCTTCCAGTGTCTTAAATACGATATGTCAATACACCAGGGCGCAATCCGCCGAATAGATACTACCGTTTCAACAAAAGAAATGATGGCGGATGTGGATGTAAGTTTCCTCTCCTTAAAAATTACGCACTTACTTATACGTACGGTTTATATGATCATGGCCGGATTTACATTTTTAGCGCCCTAGGCTAAACTTAGGGTGGCGCCCCTAAAAGTAGGCGCTCTCGTGGGGGGGGGGGGGGGGGGGGGGGGTGGAGTGCCCTTGTGCCTATGATACGCGAAGGAAATAAATTTGTCAACAACAGCATAGAAATTTTAATAAGTCACGTTTTTGAAAAAATTCTCAAAAATTTTGCGCCCCTCAGAACGTTGCGCCCTAGGCTATAGCCTATGTAGCCTATTGGTAAATCCGGCCCTGTATATGATATATCTAAGTATTGTGTTTTGCAAATGTATGTACCTATGTATAGCGCACATCCGTTTATTGGTAGTACAGGTATTAAATGGACGCATTTCTGCCAAACGGAACTATAAGCATCAAGACATGAGCCCCGAGACCCATAATAATGTATGCATAACAGGGCTCACGTCATGATGCACATAGTTCCATTTGCCAGAAATAGGTACGTCCAAATATACATATCGACGGTGAAACTACCAAACCACGTACCTCGGTTTACAACGTTAGACTCCCTGTCATACTTTACTCGTACTTTTTAAATGAAGAACTACTCGAAATTAATTATTGAAAACTTTCCCTGATTTCTCCTCTCTTAGCGGAGAAAACTCTGCGTAAAAAGGAGTGATATTGATTTGTTCTCTTTCAAAAAAATAAAACTGAGGTGGAGATTTCTAAACGCCACAAACGAGATACGTAGTCTAGTAGTTTTCACTGTCGGTATCTAGGCGCTGGTAATAACGGAGCGCACTCATAAATAACTTTTCACCGAACACGAGGAGGTTAGGTACCATAACGTCATGAAAGCTCGCCTTCAATGTTTAGTGTAGGCAACACGAGCTCCTAAGTGGTCGAATAGTGGTATCATCCCCACATTGAGGCAAGCGGTATCCGTCGGCGAATTAGTTGTAGACAGAGACACCATAAAGTATATAAGTATCGAGTTGACTTAGGTATTCAAGTTGTTAAATGATCTTTCGATAATCAGAAGAGCAATGAACGATAAGAACGGAGAAAGAAATAAAAGAAGAGAGGAAGAAGAAGGAGAACAAAGAGGGAGAAGCAGAAAAAGAAAAGAGAAGGAAGAAAGAGAGATAAAGAAGAAGAGAGGGCGAAAAAGGAGGAAGCGAAGGAAAGAGGAAGTAGAAGGAAAAGAAAGACGAAGGAGTGAAAGGAAAGAGGATGAGAGAGAGGATAAGGAAAAAATAAGAAGAACGAGAAAAAAAAGAAAAAAAGTGAATTAAGACGACGTATAGAAATTAGAAGATTATGCTGCTTTGTATCAGAGAGCTGTCTGTGTTGCCTATCTGCTAATTGAAGGAGCTCCTCTTATCCAAATCCATTGCAATAAAATTAAAATAAATTTCAATTTTTCTCAGCATCGCAAATTTTGTCTAGGTAGCTTTCTGGTGCTTGGACCTCGTTCCATTGATCGTATAAAACCGGCATCTCACCAAAAATCGGACGGATTTATTGGGAATCAATCTATGTACATTTTGCCTGATATTCTTATACGTTTTATGTTACCTTATGTCTATGTCTGTTTATGTGCATGTCCTTAGGTACAAGGGACGGCAACCTCAATATTTCATTCGGGACGGAGCCATTTTGCTTCTTATACCTTCCCGCTTCAATTTTTAATACTATCTCATTTACGATTTTAGGGTTGGCGTCCGCTTTAAGTTTGTCTTATGTTACCAAAATACCCAACTCCTGGCAATGTGAGAAGATGCACTGATTCCCATCTCATTGGCCTTGATTTTTTGACACCTGTTCGTGGCCAGATTCACGCTATTGCCGTCCCGAGGCCGTCAAGATTTTGCCGTCCCNGGGGGGGGGGGGGGGGGGGGGGGGGGGGCATGACCTCGTACAGTACATACCGAACAAATTTTGAAAGGCAGATTTTTCGACACCTTTATCAACTACACTGGTAAAAAAAGTAGCTTTGGATCTAGAGTCCAGACTCTTAAAAACATTGACAAGAAAAAATACTCTCGATTCAATCGGATTTTTCCTTGAATCGAAGAGCCAAGCCTCTTGATTTAAGCGGATTTGCATTTGAATCAAGAGTATTTCTTCTTGTCAATGTTTTTAAGAGTCTGGACTCTAGATCCAAGCTACTTTTTGTACCAGTGTATTTTGTGGTCTATAGCTTGCACTTGATTCTTCTGGATCAAACAAGGTCTTGTTTCTATAACGGCCGGCCCGCACGGTGTTCTTGGCAGCGCCCTATCTTCATTTTTCTCTTCGCACTTTGTTTGCGCCCCCCCCCCCCCAAACTGCCGCGCCCTACTGCCTAGGCCGCGGGGGCCTATACGTAAATGCAGCCATGCACCAGTCTTTGAGTGATGAGCTTTAGATTGGAACTTCGGAGTTCACTTGGACCGCGTTTGGCAGGAAGTAACCGCGCCACATCATTTGTTGCCAAATTTAACGGGGTAATTTAATCTTTTACAAAAGCACATTTGTACGGACTCCTTTGAAATTTTCAAGGAATTTGCTTCACATTATGCAGAAGATTCACTGAAAATTGCACAAAAATCCGCACAACTATTCTCAAGTAGCACAGCGCAACGAAAATATTGAAATTAAATTGCAATTTGATTTCAATACAATTATAATTTTTCCCCCATTAAATTGCAATATTTTTATATCATTCAGTCGATTTATGCCGATTTTAAACACGCGCAACAAATGAAATGAGCTCCATGTGTCAGAAAGATAGGCAATACGCAATGCAATGAAAAATTGCAACGTATTTCAATTTTATTGCAACAAGATTCAATAAATGGGGCCCTTTCAAATAGGAGCTAGGCAACATTCACAACATTAAGTTAATTTGCAATATTTTTCCTATGTAATTGCTACTTATTGCAATCTGTGCTACTTGGGTTTTCATATAAAAAATTAAATTGGGTGACAGCTGATGTAGCTTAGTTCTTTCCTGCTTACCTAATGCGGTGCAATTGGTACGTTCATTCATGGTTGGAATTTTCCGATTGATATAATAAGCAAGTACTTACTTTTGGCTGTGATCGAAATCATATTTCTTATTTATTCATTGAATTTTCAGTCTGATGAATTTAGAGACTCTCCAGATGATCTGGATGATGAAGATAATGATGAAGATGATGGACCAACAATGACCAACACAATAGCTAATCAACGGATTGGCAAAACCTTCAAACTAGAGATAATGGATTTCTAAAGAGGTCAATTATTGTGACTTTTGGAATTGGGACTGTAACGTACACAGGTTTCCCTTCTCCTTACAAAAACTGTTACTTTGGAAACCACTTTTTCTTTCACATGCCTATTAGAGATGTGGATATATTGGCAGAATCTTGGTGCCTGGTTTCTTGCTGTCAACTTTAGGTATGGTTCTTGGGCCTCAGAGAAAGAAAATGAAGGAAGCACTCAATCAGCATTGATGCCATGACTTCTCCACGTCATAAAAATTGTTTCCTTTCAATTAAAAGAACTGGAGGCTAATCAAAGACTGTTCAGTACTTCTAGATATTATGATAAATTATTCTGATATATCACATGTCAATAGTCGAAGTGCAAAGCCACGTATCTCCATTGCGATGTTTCAACATTTCTTTTCCTATTTTCTTTGATCCGAAAAAGACAAGCCAACTTTATGGCTTGAATTTTACTTAGACAGAATATTCTGCTGACAGAGAAGAAAATCAAGGAAGTTTTCAAGAAATTACCATCACTAGTTTTTTGAAGAAAAATTAGACGTGGTTTTGCACTTAGACCATCAATTGGGTGAAGTTAGATGATTTTATCAAATTACCTACGTCTGATGGAAAGATGCAGGTCTCATCTGATGGCAGAAATAGATCCTTCAGGATTAAGCCAAGATTTCGTGAGATTCCTTGGAACAGCAATCTAACAAATTAAGTCAAAGTGGAGAAAACTGTGAATTTTTGTAAGTCCATTGAGAAAGACGGAGCAACTCCAGAACGTACTGTATATTACCAAAATGACTCCTATTACGCTTATAGTATTTTTTCTTTGTTTTTTTCTTCTCATTTTTGTTCATTTCTGTGTGAATTATTAAATCCAGTCAGATTCTTAAAACGTTAGTTACCTACTTTCATCTTCTTTTCCTTAACTATAGAATAGCATTACCCCTTGAATGTTGAACCAGTATGAATTTATGGGATATTCAAGTCAAGATCAATAGGTATTAGAATAATTTAATTGTTCATTCCTCCGAGAAACTCTCATAAAAAATGAGAAAAATCCACCTTCAGTACCTCGATTAGATGCATATCTATCTAGTGAAAAAAATAGAAAACTTAAAATTGCTCTTCACAAAACAGTAAAAATCTAAAATTAAAGAAAAACTTGCTATGGAAAGTTGTAAAAGTCATCACAAGTGGGTTTTTTTTACCTTTGTCAAGTTTTAAATTAAGATGTAAAAGACTCATTAAATTCTTGAAAAATAAATGAATAAAAAGAAATCCCAAGTTCACTGAACAAGGTTCGGTAGTGTTTGCATCAAAACAGTATTTAATTCAACATCATTCTTGTAGTACTCATGAACATGTGTACTCTTTGAGGAAGAGTCACTTTTGCACTGTTCATATTAAGATACGTAACATAAAGCAAATAAATTCATGATTTTTTGACAGGAATTTAACTGGAACGTTTCTTTTTATTTTTGTCCAAGGACGCTGAACTTAGAAAAAGTAAAATATGGAGGCAGGTGACTAGTTTATTTGCATGATCAATGTTTTAATAAAATAGAATATTCAACTTCATCGCATAGGTTATACAAAGGAAGTCTGTGATACAAATCAACTTGGCGAACAAATTAAACAGTAAAAAAGCAATGATTACAGGCTACGTTCATTTTCAAAATAATTTACTGCAGTTTGTTGCTAAACCCAAAAATTAAGTGAAACTAATTTCAGATTCAAGTAAAACGTAGGGAGGATGGCACAAGTGCTCAGCACTAAAAACTTCATACAGACAATATTCCATGAGAAAACATTTGGTAGATTACAGCTGTTGAAAATAAAACAGCATTTCATTAGAGGATAATAAAACCACTTGATTATTGACAAGCGTCTGAGGAAGAAAATGAATAGATTCTGCTGCCTTGAGGAATTTTATGCAGTGTCCGTTTCCTAACTTATTACTTTAATTCCTTCTGAGGCCTATATTTTTTAATACAAACGCTCCCATTCTAAAAGAAAAGGAAGACATTGTGTAAATAATTAACGCTGAGATAGTTTTATATTTTTATTTTTTTATGATCCAAAAAATTTTAGCTGATAAAAATTCATTGATGAATTCGAAGAACAAATTTTTTATGTAACTTGAAAATATTTTTGGACCCTAATAACAAAATACAAACCCTTAAATAATGAGTTGCAAATATTCCTTACTGACTCAGAATTCACAAAATAAAACACAAGATCAACTGTAAATCCAAGTCTGACAAAAATGTGAGGCATAAAGAGTATAATTTTAATTTTCTAGAATATTTAATCAATGAAAAATTGATAAGAACACCAAATAAACATTGAAAAAAGATATATGAAACCCTTAAAACTTGACACAATTTAATAAAAATCTCTGGATAGGAGAATCTTGAACAATAATATACACTTCAACCAAAAATCAATTAAGTCGCAGTGCATTTGATTTAGTGGGAATGAAAACACAACAGCATGGAAAAATGAAAGACACAAAAAATGCACAGCAGATGAATATGTTAATCTGAGAAAAAGCTTTTTGGTGGCACAGGACAAGCTCTTGCTGACACTTTAAAGGCGCAAGTTGAAGTAGACGTCCTATCTTTCAAGGATATCATGTAAATTGTACATTTTGAAGTTACTGAGTTGGTGTGTTCTCATTCTCATTCTCACTGAATTGTTTGTGGTTCAGAACAAAATTATACTTCTTTGTAAACAAGTTTAACTCGATGATTCGAATGATTTATACATGTTGAAAATGGTTAGGTTTCTCCAAGAAAAGTGTGTACATTTCTTCAATGAGAGTAGAGATGTGAAAGATAATAATTTGAATAACAAAATTTAAACAACCCTCCAAAATATAAAAGTTTTTCATTGAAGTGAGAATAAATACACATAGAGGTCTTAACAAGAAAATTTAAAAATGTGCCCAACAGGTTTTTCCATTTATTTATAAAAAAATTAATGAATGTCTTCATTCCATCACATTTTGGAGAAATGAATTCAATGATTTAGATTAACGCAAGAGCAGAGAAGCTGACCATGCCATTATGAGCATATTTGGCAATAGGCAACCTTTTGGGGTTTTCACTCAGCTGCTTTTCAAAACGGAGTTGAAATACAAACCAAAGCGTTTTAGTGATTTTTTTTAAAACTTTAATTGCTTAAGCTTTTTGGTCTCAGGGCTATTCATACCGTGAAATCACACACAGTTTAATTAATAGTACAAATAAATATCGTCTACCAGACCAAAGAGCTTAAGCAAACAAAGTTTTCATAAAATCAAAGCAATCCCTTGGTTTGTTTAAACTCCTGTATAAAACTGACACCTCTCAAATTCAATTTTTTAAATGATTTTCATAAACGATGCTTAATATTTTAGATTAGATTACATCCTAGCAAAATACATGAGTGTTGGAGGGTCATTTTCTCATCCTCACTTCGAATTTGTTGTTGTATTAAAAAAAAAACAACTTTTTTGGATGGTTCAAACAAATTTGTAAGTATGGAACCGCTGATTGAATCTAACAGGCTGCGTGCAGTTGGTAGCACTTATTACTTTATGTATAGATCTTCAGTATACTTAGGAACAAATGCAAAAAATATATTTCTTCGCTCAATTGAAACAAGCAAATATTTTAAGAATATGTGGCTTCTTAATTTTGATGTATCTCCAACTTAGATATATTTTCATAACTTCGTAAAAAGAAATCCAATTTTTACTTTCCTTAGCCCTGAGATTTCATCAATTTGTAAGATGTCATTGTATATATGTAGACAAAAGAATGAAAATTTGTAAATGTAGATAGTTCTTATTATGCCATACCGAATGTTTTAGAGAGAAATAAATATGCTCATTGCTGTTACTCTTTAGCAAATTCATTTATTATGGCTGCATCTGAATCATTTTATCAGACCTAAATTCGTGAAACTTGAGTAACAGTTTAACCTAATGTAGGTTTGTCCTTTGATGAACTGCCAATACTACTGAAGAAAAGCACCAAATGAAGGGCAATTCCGATATTAAGTCTCCTTGCGCTTTACAAACCAACAATGCGAAGTAAAATTGAGCTGGATGCATCGAATTAACTCCTTGGCAACATTTTATAAATGTTCGTTAATACTTTTGCATTTGAAGAAAAATAGGTCATTAAAATACAGGGTCTGGGTAAAGATGCTGAAGAGATAAGCAGATGCTGAGAGATGATGAAGAGAATATCTGTAGAGTACGTCTTTCCAGCTAAATCGGCTTGGACAAGGAATCCTATAGTTTTCTCAGGGGTGAATATTGGGTTTCCCCAGAGACTTCTCACTATGATTCACGGTGAGGAAATGATTTTTCATTCCAATTTAGAGAGAGCCACCAGCTTTCAGTTTGAACAGACAAATGGAGCTATTCCATACTGAAATTTTGATCCACTGAAGTCAAATTTTGCAGAGGGAAAGCTCAGGTAACCTTGAGACTCAAAACACACTAGGCTACAGTCCCAGACGCTGCTTCAACTTCATAACTCCGCTTCTAATCCTTACCTCAGGATGAACTTAGGCTTGTTTTAAACCTTAAACCATCTACATGCTTTAATTTAATATTGCTTTTGTTTTGCTTTCTAAAATTTATTTGGCTCCAAAGCCTTGACGACAAAAATTTAAAAATAAGAGGCCCTGTATACTTACCCAAAAAAAGGTAAAAATTTTTAAAGAAATTTTACTTTTACAGCTATTTTATTAATCTCGTTTCTTTTTAAAATTTGACAGCAAGATCACCTTTCTACGAAAAACTGCTAAGACTTTATGTCGTAATTACATTTTTTACTATGACCTCTCCCTTTTCTTTTTCCATAAGAATAGGTGAAACATTTTAATAGTTTTAAGTCTGTGAGAAGACCCTATATCACTCCTGAAACAATTTTAGAGTTTTGTGTTTGACCAAAAATAAATAAGCTCCTTTTAAATAAGGGCAAAATAAAATTTTATGTTTCAAATCAGTAGTTTGAGTAGTATCCCTTGGTGCCTTAAATGGTTTCTTTAGATAAATACAAAAGACTATAAAAAGAAAGACAACAATTACAACACACGCATTAAATGATTAAGATCAACTTATCAGGCACTTACGTCACATTTAAACGCTTCAACTATTTGTTTACAGAAATTACAAATATAACTTGATAGACTACCGCATTAATTTAGCGTCTGGAGCTAATAACAAAAAAAACAGTTACCTAAACGATAAGTTTAGGGGAAAAAATTAAAGGCTATATTCATTATTATGCATTCATGACACAAATGTATGAATTAAGCTACGCAAAATTAGAATTTATACGCTTCAGAATGGGGTAATTTGAGAGACTAAAAAAAACATAAAATATTTTAAGACTTCAATTTGACCCCAAAAAAGTATCTACAAATAGAAAGATTCTTCCAAAAGAGGAAAAGTAAAACTTAAAACAAAAATGAGTTTACTCTACTCCAATTTGCATTCCTGAATGCACTTTAATCACTGTTCATTCATACAGTTACATGAAAAGAAAGACTATCATCTGAAAAAAATACAGGAGTTAGTTTCCTGTATTGAATTATACCAATATACATACATTTTATTACTAATCATCTGGAAAATAATGCCCTGACACCAAAATGCTCTACTATTTTTTTTCCATGGCATTAGATTGAAATCTGAAAATTCAACGAATTGACAGCTTTTATGATCCAAAATAATTGACGATCAGAGAACTAATTAAAGAGATCATGAGAATTTCACATTTTTTGAGAATGTTTACTCTTGACAGTTACAGAAGTAATTAAAAGTAAAAAAGACTTTTCACTCAGACTTTGAATGTTGCCTATTTCAGAGAGGTCTGACCAGCAGAGAGTTGACTAAATTTTTTGAGTCACCTTTCGACCGTGAAAATCCCACACAATGTATTTCTGTTTGCAACATTGCAGACTCCTTGTCATACTAGTACTTAATTTTTTAAACAAAGGACAACTCACTTTGCCAATTTTTGAAAGCTTTTGTGATTATTCTTCTAAAAGCGAAACAAATTCTGAAAAAACTTAAAGGGATGGCATTGAATTATTCTCCTACAAGAAAAAAAAATTGAAGTGGAGATTTTTGAACATTGCAAAAGAGATACTTGGTTTGGGAGTTTCACTATCAATTTATTACCGGAGTCTAACTTTCTTTCCAACTTTTGGTTCTTTTGGTTACAGGGTTATTCTTTCTTGCATTTGGTACACTGACTGAATTTGTGACGATGCTACTATAACTACACTGATTTGTATTTACGTTATCTACATTATAATTTAAAACATAGGGACTATTGATAATGTTGAAAGTTTTGCTTCCTCTTAGCAAAGGACAGAAGTAGTCTAAGTGGCCAGATTTGGTGCAATTACAGCAGAATTGCCGCTGATTCATAGGTAGCTCTGGAGGTATTTTGATACTTCCCTCCACCTGAAATGATGATTAAAAGTTAGTTTGACTTTTTAACTGTTCAGCTGTTTTATTAACTTTTAAAAGGTAAAGTTTGGAAAAATCTTGACTCTAGAATTTTTGTGGAGATCCAAACATTTGATAAAAATTGGGTGAATCTGAGGCTATCATATAACAGAAACAAAAGAACTGTACTTATTATGTTCAATACCCTACTCGACTGCGATGTAAAAATCGTTTTGCATCCTGCAAACTTAGGTTTCATTTGCATTATGTTACCGTTCCTAAACCTCATTATTACTTTTCCACCAATAGAGGCTACTACAGTAACGTAGTTTAGCATGGCTCATTGAATCAGGGGTGTAAATAGTTCTGAAATCCTTACCCTTTTTGCAATGGGGAATTTCCGTAGGAAAATTTTAGTGTATAATACTAAAAGGCTGATTATAAGCTGGCTTCATAGAATTTTTCACAATTTCGTTCTCTTGTAAAAATTGAAGAAAAATACATTTAAAAGTGAGGAAAGAACCCTGCAAAACCAGAGGATCTTAATAGCTCTTTTAAGGTAATTTCTCATAATATTTATGATGGAAACGGATATATCAGACTCAGAACTACACATTTTTCTTATGAAAATAAACACTTTTGCAGTATTTAAATGAAACTGTTGCTTCAAGGTGATTTG